GTTTGTTGGAGCACGTGACTGCCCATCGTCGAAATCGAGGGGAGAACTGTCGGGACGGAATATTGAGGCGACAGTTTAAGAGCGCCAATAGATTTGACTAACTTGCATGTTTAAGGTGACTAGCGACGTCCATCTTTCTGATAGCACGTGACTGGTTCAATCCATGCAATTAGAGGCGTGTCTTGCGTGTTGATGAAGCTCATTTCAGTCCATCCATCCATCCATCCATCCATCCATCCATCCATCCATCCATCCATCCAGGGACCGTGATTTTGTTCACTGTTGTCTGCGTCCATCTACGATATTTGTTGGGTAAAACGGCATCCTTAATTCATTTTTCATCAAAATGTCCGCCGCTGGGATGGAGCAGAATTATCGCCTTGGGAAGCTAGTGACAACTGTGTACCCATAGGTACCGATTGATGCACTCGATACCTGGGCAGAATTCCTTGCTACTTTTTGGGCGTGGTCAGACTAAGTTTTGGGTAACAATCTACTATTGGTAACACTTCGGGAACGAAGAAAAAGCGGAATTCTATAATTCAGGACCGGCGGTAATGGGGGATATGCGGGTGAGGCATTACAGAAGCGCAGGAGAGAAAGGAAAATAAATGTAGCACACAAAAACGGAAAATAGTGGATAAAATTATTGCAAAAAAGTTAATATGTAACAACGAAAAGCGCGCGGTAATTTAAAAATAAATTAAAATTAAATTAAAAAAATAAATAAAATTTAAAAAATAAATTACCAATCCCGTCGGCCCTCTATATCAGAACAGAGGGGCTTTTAGTTTCCTATGTGTTACCTACAACAGACTGTTAAAGTTTTGTTTTGAATTTTCCCCTTAAATGTCCTCTTTTTGGATGTTGCAGCTGTTGTTCGTTTTACAAACTTTCCCGTCAGATGCGTTCACTGTGGGGGTCGGTTATCCTTGCTCCCGTGTCCGCCAGCCCACCTAAACCGCTTACCTTTATGGTTTTCTTCCTGCAGGTGTTCGCCGTAGATCGTGTCTCCAGTCGTCTCCTCTTCCGCAGCGGCATTTCAGCCTTGACGCCAGGCGGAGAGGCATGGCTTCCTCTACAGCTTCCGATATTGTGGACCGTCGGAGAGGGACCTCAACCACTACAGCCGGAAGAGGGGAAAAGGCTCTACTCCAACAAACATCTGCCTCTGCACGAGTGCATTGAGTTGCTCAACACTGTCCTCCTTCAGTTTGAGGCAAACAAAGCATCTGTTTGTCCCTCTCCGCCTTCTGAACAGGCGACAGCTAACGGTAAAACATTTCGCCTTCTCGAACTTCTTTTTTGCTTTCGTTATTGTCCTTTGAAGTAGACACTTGTCATTATTCGCACAGCAGTCTGCTTGAAGCATGGGTGGGAGGTTGGTCCACGAGGCGAGAGGTCGACCGTCATAGATGATGACGTCTGCCGTGTGCCCAATAGAGTGAACAAGGCCCTGGCGACTTGCATGTGAATTAGTGTGCAATTAAGCAAACATCCGCACACCTACCGCACTCTCTCTCAACC